AGTCCCGGGTCTGGTGGGTCCACTGAACCACAGGCTATTCTGCTGAGCTAACCTCAGCTCCACAGCTTTTGTGATCTGTCCTGAATCGATTTTTCCCTCTAACTTACTGGTTTTGGTGATCTGAGAGCTATGTATCACCCAAAAGTTGCTCTGGTATGATCCAGCTGTTCTGGGCTGCCATCTTCTGCCCTTTCAGGCTCCTCAGGTGAGACTGAGAGCAGCAGGCAACCCCCCACTCACCTGCTGCCTCTCTCTGGCCCTCACTGCCCACCTGCCTGCCCGGCAGAGCCCTGGGGCACTGGCAGGATGCGGAGTCACGCTCCACACTTCCTCAGGCCAGAGACTGAACTGCCAAGTGGGGAGGCCCCCATTCCCCATGCACACATGTATGCACATGCATGTCTGTTCCAAGGAGAAAACTGTCTACGAAAGGGACTGAACTTTCAGTGCTGGCTAAGGCAGCGCCTCCACTCCAAGCCACCTCTAGGGTTGTGCAGGAAGCCCTCTGAGGTGCTTCCTGGCCTTGGGGCCTAGGCACTGGTGTTTTTTGAGAGTCTGTCCACCTGGAAAGCAGGTGCCACAGACTCGGGCTCCTAGTCCCCCACCATAGTCGGCTCACGTCTGCAGCTCACCTCCAGCATCCATGTCTGCGGCCGTCTGTCCACTGCTTCCTCTGGACATCGCTTCCCCTGGGCAGTTCCCACTGTGTGTGCAAACATTCTAGAAAATGCTTTGAGCTCCACTCACTACCAGGCCCTGGGCAACCAGAAACAATGAAGCTAACCTTACAGGGCAGACAGGCAGGGCACCCAGAGGAGGGCAGGTCCCCCGGGGGAGGGGACTCACCCTCACGGCCTCCTGCGGCCTGTTTTGCTTTCATGGATGCCCTGCCCACCCCTTGCTTCCCTCCTGCCTACTGGACTTTGCATGCATTTTATTTTCTTTCCCTTCCTGCTGACCTGTCCCCGCGGTCACTGCCCTCCACCCATTCCTCCCCTACTTGTCTCACTCTGAGGTTTTCCGCCCACGGAAACCTGTTCCAGTGCCACAGTGGTGGCTTCCATTTCCTTCAGGGTTTTGCTTTAGGTTGTGTTAATATTCAGGCTCTGTTAGCGGCACAAAAACCCCACAGCAGAAGAACGCCTTATGTGGGCAGGTGCCCAGGTGGTGTTGGGATGGGGCTGCCTCACCGGGCTGTCTGTGCTGCCCAGAGCTTGCAGAACTGCAACTCCAAGCAAGATGCTCCAAGGGTACCCCCAAATTTCACTTCAAAGCACGCCTAATTTGGAGTCTGTTTATACCACTGACCTATGAAAGCAGGAAACTCCTTGGAGAACATCTAGCCTGAACCCCTTCTTTTAAGAGGAGACTAGGGTGACTCAAGGGGAATGAACTGGCCAAAGATCACACAGTAAGACGGAAAGTGTGCTGAGACCCAGTGGAAGGCATTGAGGCCAGGGACTCTCGGCTTCCCCGCTGGCTGGTGACGCGTGGGCAAGCATTTACTCCAAGCCCAGATCTTCAGGGCAAAATGGGGCCAGTAACCTGACGGTACCCAGCCTACAGGGTTGTCATGAAACATGAGAAGTGTAATTTTCACCAAACTTAGTGCGCTGATCCGAGCTAAGCATTCGCGGTACGTTAGTATCTTCATGCCATCAGGGAACTGTGTGTAGACACGCCCACCGCCACCCCCTCTCCGCACCTCTCTGAGCAATGCACCCTTTCCACAGCCTGTGGCTGAGTCTGCACCAAATAAGGAAGCTTTCCAGCCACACCCCGTGGACGCAGCTGCATGCTCCAGCCAGGCCCTCGGGTTCTTTCAAGAATTTGAGCAAAGCCACAGCAACTGAATCAGGCCAAGATGGGCCTGGGGGCCTCAGTTCTCACAGATCTGGAGGGGAACATCTCAGTGTATTACACTGTAGGTTTTCAGTGGTGTTCCCTGCTCCCCCGAGCGGCCTATTGTCCCTTAGCCAGTCCACATTAAAGAGGGGCCTGCTGCTCCTGGGGCTAGAAGAGGCCAGGGCTGGAGAGGAGAGGGGTCAGTGGAGACAGCCTGGGCTGCAGAGGACGGGGTTTAGGATCCCTCATCTTGGAGAAGCTTAGTGGGGGGCCTCAGTGCCAGAGGAGGGCTGATGCAGAGTGCCAAGGTGTCGTAGAGTGAGGACCCCACTCCCGGAGCCCATCCCTTCAGCCCAGAGACCCTGCCCCGTCTCACCACCCAGTACCACGGTGCAGGACCCCTATGTTAATTTCCTAGGCCTTCCATGACAAATGACCACATACTGGGGAGCTTAACCAACAGACACTCCATCACAGTTCTAGAGGCCAAGAGTCTGGAATCAACGTGTTGGCAGGGCACGCTCCCTTGGAAAGCTCTGGGGGAGGGTCCTTCCTGGCCTCTTCCAGCTTCTGGTGGCCCCAGGCATTCCTTGGCTTGTGGTCTCTGCCTCTGTGGTCACGACCTCCTCTCTCACTGTCTCTGTGTGTCTTTTCCACTTCTTCTAAGGATACCTGTTGTTGTGTTTAAGACCCACCCTAATCCAGTCAACTAATTACATTTGCAGAGACCCTATTTCCATATAAGGACACCTTTCAAGGTTCTGGGTGAACCTGAATTTGGGGGGACACGACAAGTCAGGACACCTCCCATGCTGTCTAAAGAGAGTAGGCCCTTGCACGCCTGGAGTGGCCACAGTGTGTGAAGACAAAGTTTGCTCCTTGACAGAGGGGGCTCAACAGAAGCCCCTGGCAATTTCCTGACCAGCCAAGCCAGGCGTGTGACATCACCCCTGTTGTATTGAGGTGGGGCAGCGATGATTTGGGGCAAGCCAGTGTCAGAGGGGGATCAGGGCCTAAGGAAGAAGCCAGTGGGCAGGAGCACAGAGAGAAGCAGAGAAGGAGCCGCAGCCAGCTTGTGCTCCCGGCCCTGGGACATGCAGCCTTCCTGCAGACTGGCGGCTCCTCCAGAGCCCTTGGTCCTGGTACTAATTTGTGTGGCGTGGTGGACACCTGCGACTCTGTCGGCCCCGTATCCCAGGGTTTTCCTTCCACTCTGTCCTTAGGATCTGGGTGGAGCTTTATCAAAGCATTCCTGGCTGGACACACGGTCCCTGTGTGGCCAACCAGCATGCCCCATCCCTCTGGATACTGTGATCATCTGCTCAGGAGTGGACGCAAGGCAGAGTTGGGCCAAATCAGAGTAAAATCAGGCACTGAGTGGGAGCTGAGGTGGTCGAAGAGCACAGTGACCGAAAGCGCTGATGGCCACCTTGCCACCTTGTTGGGGCACCCATGGGACAACGAAAATAACCTGGAGAAAAGCTGAGCTCAGATGGACAGGCCAGGGGTGCTGTCATTCTAGCCAAGCCCTGAACTCCTTGATCACAGAACCAGTAATTTCACCCTTAAGCCAGTTTGAGTGGAGTTTCTATGCTGCCTGGACATACCCGTACCCCCTGCCACCCTGTCTAGGGCCACAGCCTGGCTAGCCACAGGACATGAGAGGTGTTTCACAGGTGTGTCAAAGCTCAGAACTGAGTCTATCCACGAGGGTCACGGACACACACCTGGGCAGAGAGGCCAGAGGCCACATCCCGGACAAGGCCGAGAGGAGGTGTGCTCCAGGGCTTGAGCCCAGGTGGCCAAGGCCAAGCCTGTGTCCTGAACCCCAGGCCACCAGGCCTGCGCTCTGAGAACAGGCCGGGCTATCGATGCACATGCTTCCGAGGGCATCTGGCCCCTTGTCTCTGGCACTGAAGCTTCCCTGCCCCAGCACCCGAGGCCTCCCTTATAAGGTGGCAGCTAGGAGGCTGGGTTCAGGGACATGTAGAGACAGGAGACCCCCCCTTGTGAGTGGGCAGACATGAAGAATGAAGGAAGCCCCCAGTGGGGATGGAGCAGCATTGCTGCCCTGAATCCCCCTCTGGGGAAGAGGGGCCGGGCCTGTGATGGAGGCTCACGGGGCTCTAGCCAGGATTTGGGGGGCTGCCAGCCAGGCTCTGCTGCCTTCACAGCCCCTCAATGGCCTAGTTTCCTCCTCTGTAAAATGAGGGCCCTTGTCATTATGGGTGCCCTCCACACTGACGTGTCAAGGGTCTAAAATCAAGATCACGGGCCAGTAGGAAGCCTGAGACAGGAGGCCACCATTTCCAGGGGTGACCATCAGGAGACTGGCCAGAGCTAGGGCAACCTGGTCTCCATGGAGACAGGACCAGGATCTGGAGGCCACTGGTCTGTCCTCCCTGTGACCTGAAGCAGGAGCAAGGCCAGCGCTGGCATCTGCCACCATCTTAAAGGCCTCAGGTCATCTGGGCCACTTTCATTGTTTTAAGGATGGGGAAACTGAGGCCCAGGAGGAGAGGGCAAGGTCACAGAGCTGGTCAAGGGTATAACTGGCCCTCTGCCACACCGAGGCTCCAGCAGCACCCAGGGAAGTTGGCCCTTGAACCTCAGGTCACCTCTGCACCGGCTGCCAGGATGCCTGCAGTCACCAATGGCCACGTCACTCTCTCAGCAGCTGCACTGGGCACAGAGCAGCAACCTGCTAGCCCGAGTTATGCCCTGGGCACAGGGGCAGGAGGAGACAGGTGGCCATTCTCTGGAAGCTAGGTTTGCAGGAGGGGTTTCTGCCCCAGGGGGTCTTTGAATTCTGTGCTGGACTAAGTGTAGACGTGGACATTGTTATCTTGGTTATCAAGCAACTAGGGTGCAGAAACAATTGTCCAACTTCCCGTTAAGGGCAGCATGGTGGGCCCATAGTGGGGCCTGGAGGCCTGGCATGGGTGCTGCGCGGACCCCCATAAAACGAGGGGTTGGACTAGAAACTGTTCAGGGCTCGGCACCATCCAGCATCTGGAACCTCAAGCAGTGAAGCTGACTTCCAGGGGCCCTATAAAGACTGGGGGCTTTTCCCTGGATTCTCTTCCTAGAAACGCAAGACTCTCTCTTATGAAGGGTGTCTTTAAAATGACATGCCTGTTTTCTCCCTAATACAGGAAGTCACAGTAAAAGAATCAAAGCTCATGACGCCCATCCAGAGTACTCCTGGTGACACTTCCTGACATAAAGTCATAAATGCAGCTGGAAAGAAAATGTGGAGGACACAGAAAAGTGGAAATGAAAACTGAAAGGCCCCAGCGGGCCCGCCGGCCCCTCTCCAGGGGAGCCCGAGTCCCTGCCAGCAGCAGTGGCCCAGGTCGGGGACTCAGCTCACATCCCCGTGCCTCCACACTCCTGGGCGGGTCCTTTACCTGCCCCTGGCCTCCGTGTCTTCACCTTCCGGGTGGGTAGGATGGTGATGCCCACCTCCTGGGACTTTTAAGAACTCAGGGAGTTAAGGGCAAACGGGGCCCTGGGATAGAGCTCGGTGCCCCGTCCTGGGTGGCTTTGCCCACTGCCGGTATGAATGGGTGCCAGGTGCTCTTCCGGAGTATAACCACCAGCTGTCTCGTCGTCTTGTGTAACTCAAAATGGATCAGACCTTGTTTGGCATCTTGCTTTCTTCACCTGCTTATTTTAGAGATCTGTCCACCCCACCACATACACATGGACATATGTTCTTCTTTCTTAGGAGCCTTCAGATTCTGTGCCCTGTCCCTTCGCTGTTACCCACATGTGGACACCAGGAAGTTAGATTCCTAGAAGCATCAATTCCAACCCAACCCATGTATGCATTTTCAGTCTGGCTGGATTTACACTTCCTTCCACAAGGATGAGGTTCGTCTCCACAGCCCCTGCCAGCCCTGGGCATCACCACGTCTGGGTAGTTTCCATGCGAGGCACGTGCTCAGGGACAGCCTTGTGAGGCCCCACAGGCCACAGTGATGAGGCAGAGAGGCAGAGATGAGAAGTGGGCTCAGGGACTCTCTGGGACCTGGGAGGATGGGCCAGAGCCACAGCCCATGGCCACACCCTCAGGGCCTGGCAGGCCCACCCTGCATTCACCTCCCATGACATCTTACAGAGTGAAGGGCCTGCCTTTGGGCCAAAAAAGGTGACTGGGATGTTACGGGCCAGCTTGCTCCAGGCCGTTTGTGAGACAGCCCTCTGCAGGGGCTGCGGCTGAGACACCTGCCCCGGGGCACTTAACCATCCACCTGCCTCTGCTGTGGTCTCCTTGGCAGATTCAGCTCTGCCCTCAGAGAGCTGGCGACTTGTGGAAACAGTCAGATGCCATTCTGAGCCAAGCCCAGCGGGGCTGCTGCCGGGAGAGACCCAGGCCACTCGGGCAAGAGACCTCCAAACAGTGAAGCCCATGTGCCCCAAACCACCACTGCTTGGATAAAGTTCTGAGAGAGAGGGTGCAAACTTGTTTCCATGGGTGGTGGTGTCGCCAGGTCAGGAGGCAGCCTCCAAGGTGACAAGGGAACTCACAGGGAGAGAGTGAGTTCAGCACGTCAGTTAAAATCTCCATTTGCTGGGCCCATCACCTGCCTCCACGGGGGTCGGGCACCGTCTGCTGAGCTTGGCCACACAGTGCTCTTCCCCCGGCCGCCGCCTCGCCCCCCAGGCCCCCCGGAGCCCCTTGCTCCTCCCACAGCCTACTGAGCTTCCATCTCATTGTGCAGCCACTTCTTGTCACCTTGACCACCCTCCCCATCCCAACACCCAGTCCCTGGAGGCCAAAGATCATGTCTTTCCCCAGCTGTGTCTCCACAGCTCAAAACAGCACATGCTGCATGGTAGGGATGTGGTACATCAGGGGTGGAAGAAGAGAGGCCCTGGGGCAGGGCATCCAGAGACCTGGGACTGGGTCCTGGGCTGGCCGCTGGCACCGGGATCTTGTTCCTCAGTTTCTTCATCTGGGCGAAGGGTAGTTGGGATAACAGGTGCCAGAGGCCTTTCCAATTCCATTGTGTGAGGGCTCTTCAGGCCAGGGCTTGATGGGAGAGGCCAGGGCAAGCTGAGGCGGCCCCACCTCTGCCCCGTGCGTGATGAGGGGCAGCCTCCTCCACGGCCTCCCTCTGTGTGCTCAGTGCCTCCAGGCCAGCTCCAGGCCCGTCGGCATCCCAGGAAGGCAGCAGAGGTGGACGGAGGGCACGAAAGGACACGCTTTCACTGACCACCCAGCCCAGCAAAGCTAGAATCTGTCAAAAAGTAAAAATTCCATTTGTAAACAAGATCAAATTATTTGATTGTGAAACCAGGGTCCATGGAATTTAAAACAATTTAATGTGAAACAATATAATTTGAAATGCTGACCAGCCAAGACCTGGGGGTGGAGGGGCTCAGCCTCCTGTGGCCAGACACATGGAACCCAGCCTCAAGGAATAATAAGTCACTGTTCGACAAGGGTGAATGGGCATCAGCTGCGTGGCAACCCCAGGCCAGACCTGGGGCAGCAGGCCCGGCTCCCGTCCTCCTGGGGCTGGCAGTCCTGATGGGCAAGCAGGACTCTCACAATCAGAAAAGCAGTGCCAGAGAGCGGGAAGGGCTCCGTGGAGTGGCATATGATCCAAGTGACAAGGGAGGCTCAGAGAGAGCCCCGAGGGGCACCCGGTGGGCAGGACAGCAGAGAAGCATATTCAGGGTGGAAAGGGCGGTCAGGTCCCTCCCAGCTGCGGGTGTGCTGCCCTGCGTGATTCTGGGCCAGCAAATCACTCGTTAGCCTCAGTGTTGTTATCCACAGAATGGGAAACATCTCAGTCCCGCTCCCCACCTGCAGTGAGGATGAGAAATCGTTTCCGGGCATCCCACCCCACCAAGCTGACGTCACCAGTGGACAAACAAGCAAGCATGAGTGATGCAGTGGCCTGGTGAGCAGCTGCTGCGGGCATGTGGCAGGCAGGTGCCCGGAGGCGCTGCAGTGCGTTCTGTGTCCAGCACCTGCGGGTGCTTTCCAGAGGGACGGCGGAGGCAGGGCCCGGCAGGTCCTGGTGCAGCAGAGCTCTGCTTCCACGTACCCTGCCTCAACGTAAACACAGCTGGTAATGTTTCAGTACTGTAGGAGCAGGAATAACAGACCCAGAGAAGCCAGACCAAGAGCTCGCGAATGCTGACTTTCATGTCGCACCCAGGCATCGCATGTGCATCTTGGCGCCTGCGGGCCTGTTGCTCGGTGGGGAGGTGGGGGGCTAGTGTGTTTAGGAAACCGAACTACGGGCACAGCAGCGGGAGGATGTCAGGCCTCACCTCCCTTCATCCTCCCAAACGCAGCTCCCACCACAGCAAACCTGGAGGCTACCTGGGATGTGGGGGGGCACCAGGGCCTCTAGGTTTTAAGTGACCTAGGAGACAGTGGGGCAGGGTGGGGACTTCTCATCAGTGAGGTGCCACCTTAGGCACATCCCCTAACCTCTGCATGCAAACAGGCCCTGGAATACACCCAAGGTCAACTGGCCAGTGAGAAGCTGACCTAGAACTCAAGCCAGGCCCCAGTCTCCCCATGTCCCTGCTGCCCGCTGCGGAACCTGACCCACTGCCAGACCCGAACCTGCAAACCAACCACCTGTGGGTTCTGGGTAGCACAGAGCCCTTGGAGACCGTGATGCTGAGAAGCAGTGTTTTTGTTCGCCCCTGAGTCTTGCCAGGTCACATTGTCAAGGCCAGCACTTTGGAGATATTCCCTGGGTTTTGCAATTCATGCAGTGACTAACACATGTTACATTTTGAAAACCTCTCTTGGTGAAAATGTAAGCTGAATTGTAAATACATAAAAGTCTCGATGTTAATGGGGTGCGTGATTTCTCCATGACTGTTTTGTAATCCCAAGATTCTGAAAGGATGTGGAATTCTATAAAAACGTGTAACAAACACCGCCCAAGCTGCCCTTTGAAACCATTACTATGTGCAGCAGCCCTCACATCTGCCCGTCGTTACGTAAGTCACAAAACCCCTCAGTGTTCCCTGCCGCTCCAGGAGGCCGGGACACTTCCGTGGGGTGATCCGAGCAGGGACAGCAGAAGCCCAGGCAGACAGGAGGTTTCCTCTATGGGCTTGAGTACCCATGCCTGCACTGCTTTCCTCACCTCATGGCAGTGCCACTAGACCCTGAGTTCCAGTGGCAGAGCTGAGGAGCAGAGAGGGTCCGTCTCACTCAGGGACAATGAGCAGTAAGGGCTGGGGCAGGACTCCCTCCCAGGCCTCGGGGCTCTCTACATGGCTGTGCCCTTCACACCCACAGCCCTGCTGCTGGGCTCACATGTCCCACGTCACCCGCTCGCCCTGGGCTCAGCTGACTGCACGAGGGCGGCCCCCATCCGGACAGCCGATGCAGAGGCTGGACCATCGGGGTCTCTGTCTGAGCATCTGAACTAAGAAATGAAAGTGGATGGCAGTTGTCAGCAGGGCTCCTGAAGTCCCAGTGACACCAGAACTACGGGGACACCTGGACTTGGCGTGGGAGGTGAGACAGAGGAGGAAGGACAGAGAAAAGCTGAGAGTGGTCATGGAGAGATCATCACTGTGAGAGAGGCTGAGTAAGGAGCGGACCCAGGGCTGCCCCGGTCACTGGCAGCTCCTGCTTGGGGCCAAGTGCGAGGGTGCAGGCAGCAACCCTGGCCGGCCCTGCCAGTGCCCGTCACACCCCTTTTATTGCCTTCCTGGATAACTCTTATCAGTCCACAGTTACCCTGTTTCTTGTTGCATTGACCCCTTCAATGTCAATCTCCGCCCTGGACTGCAGACCGTGCACCTAGTGGCCTGTCTGGCTGCCCTGCCGTATCAGCAGAGCCCAGCGTCCTTGTCTGGTATTTTGCTTTCTTCAGCCCTCGGTAGAGGGTTTTGTGCAGGCCTCATGAAAGGCCTGGACAAAGTTGGCACTTATTAATTGCTTGTTGAATTCATGTGCTTCTGAAAGAATGCAGGATGCACCCTGACCTCCCCCACCCTCCACTGCTGTGGGTGATTTCAGTGGGTTTTATCACCACAAGAGGCCCAACCAACACGTGGCTGCTTTTGCAGCTCCCATGACCACAGCCAGATAATGGGGCAACAGAGGGCGACTCCCTGACCAGCAGAGTGCTCCCCTGGGCCTTGCAGGAGCCAGGAAGTGGCCATGCAACTGTAGACACGTTTATGGTACAATAAACTCCAGGGCGAATATTGATTTTTCTTCAAAGTTCAAGGCCTATATCTGTCTGAGTTCCCTTTGGGCCCCTGCCCACCACCACCACCCCGAGCTGCCTGACAAGCCCAGAGCCTCGAACCACCAAGGCCCAAGCCCCCTTGACGTCACAGACCCCACTGCTGAGCCCTCCTTACCAACATTCTGGTAACTTGGACGCTGCAACCCCATGGCTGGGGCAGTACACTGAAAGATGTGTCCGTCCAAAGACAAAACATTGAGAGGATGCTGTCCGAAGAGACGTTCACGGCTGTGGACAAAGGGATAGTAACTCAGTTCTGGAAGTGTCACACATGCTTCTTTTGTGTGATACCTGTGTGAGCAGGACACAGACCCAGTGGGCAATACACACACATTTGTGGGGTAGAAAGGGCATGGTGCAGACCCAGAAATAAGCATGGTACAGTGCGATGGGCACAGAACAGGGCCTCTGAGGGAAGAAGCAGCTGTAAGGGGATCATCAAAGAAAGGAAATTTCCATTGTCTCTTGCCATTTTCTACATCTACAAAGTACCTGTTATACAAAACCCACTGGGTCCTTAAAGGCATTACTTGGCTTTTGGTAATAACGAGTTTGTCTAGGTCATGTTAGGAAGTACTTTATAGTTATTTTTTTTATTATAGCAATGACTTACAAGGCTTGAAAAGACATTTTCCTTAATTCAATTACCAAGTGAGCTAAATGCATTTGTTGGAGATAATTAAGAATCTTTATAAATATAAAACAATTATCCCATCAAAACACAGGGCCAGATGTTATTATTCAAGCCAGCTTTTCAATCAAAACCCCCTTTTGCAAAGCAATCCCAAAGCGCTCCAGGCCCGCCTTTGCTGTACTTCCCCGGGCAAAGCCGCGTGTCTGGGCTCAGCACGTCACCCTGTGAGCTCCTCGCCACCGCACTAGTGTTTGCTCATGTCCACCCCACCCCGGACCCCGAGGTGTCTGAGGCCAGAGCTCTCACCACCCACCTCCTCCGTCCCAGCCTGGGCCCAGAGCCGGTGTCAAAAAAACGACATGATGACACAGGCCAGAGGGGACTGTGGAAACGCAGTAACTGAGCGCAGTGTGGTCCCCCTGGCTGGGATCCTGGCACAAGCAGACGACATTACTGGGAAAACTGGTGAAATCCAAATACGGTCTAGAGTGGAGTTAGTCATAACGGACCAATGTCAGTTTCTTAGTGTTGGCCAGGGCACCGTGGCAGGGCGTGATGTGAACAAAGGGACACGGGGTGAGGGGCGCCTGGGAGCTCTCTGTGCTATTTTTGTGACTTCTATATAAATCCGAAATTATTCTGAAGTTAAGCTTATTAAAAAACAAAACTAATGTGACTGCATGCACCAGCAAGGGAGCAGAATCTCGCTACTGCTCAGGTGTCACCATCTTTAGGACCCTCACACCCTCCCTCCAGGGCAGGGGCAGCAGCGTGTTCCATGTCAGCTGAGCCAAAGCCCCCAGCAGCCCCGCAGCCGCCAGCATTCCGCACATGCCTTTCCCTGAACCGCTGCCACCCCCCACCCAAAGCCTGGGCTTGGGAGAGACAAACCCAGCACCCTTAGCGCTACACTGTGACTCTCGTGGGCCCCTCTCACCATAATATCTGTATTCCTAAACAATTTTTATAACCCTTCTAATATGCCAACATGTTTTTCTGCTTTAAGCAAAACTGAATAGATGTTCACAAGTCCTTGAAAGAATCGCACTGAGACACGCACCCTGTGCTGTGCCCGCCACACCTAATGGAGAAGTAGGGTCCCCAGGCCACGCTTACCACCTAAGTGACCTGGAGCAAGTTCCTTAACCGCGGCATCTTCGATCCTGGGATAATGAGGCCTGCGCTGCAGGTTTTCGAGAGGAGTGCCTAAGCTAATGCGTGGGAAAGCACTGATGCATGCCTGGCCCGGCGGGGAGGTCAATGAAGAAGAGACGCTTTCGTGAAACACCCTGGCCTCCAAGCAGACGGTATTTCCCGCTTCTGAAATGTTCCCCAGAGAGCCTCAGCTTTGTTCTGCAACAAGACCTCTTGATTTTATTCTGCAAGCTTCAATCTATTCCACTCCCTCCCTACCTGAAACCGAGGAGGAAAGCAGCGCTGAGGCCCTCACGCGTTGCCCCAGGTGCTCTGTGGAGCCTCACTTGGCGCCCGAGGCGCCCCCGGCTGGGTTCTGCTGATGTTTGCCCCCAGGCCTGTCTGAATCTCATCCTTCCTCCCGGCTAGGGTCTCAAGTTCCCTCATTGTCATAAATGCAAGGGAGGGTGTTTATCAAGGAGAAGGATTTGACTGAAGTCCAGGTGGAACTCGAAACTGCCCTGTTTGCTTTAATAGGCCTCCCCCTGCCAGGGAGTCCACCTGGCAGGTCCTTGCCAGGGCTGACCTTCCACCTCTGGTCATCTCAGAGTCTTATTTCACTAATGAGACCAGACAGGCTCGTAATTTTAGGTAACTGCCACTGCTAAGACTGGAAGACAGACTCATCCCCTGGCATCCGCACAGGTCCTTCCCGGTTTGTTTGGCTTGGGAAGTGACGCAAGGGCAGGTGGAGGAATGGCAGGTCAAACACAAGCCACTGCAAGAAACTGGCTCAGGCTTTACCAACAGCGCTATTCATTCAGCGGCTCCTCGGCGGGAGACTTCTTTACTCATTTATTCGACAAATATTTACAGAGCGGCTAATATGTGTCTCACCCCTTCCACGCCCTCAGGCCTCTGCATGGCCTGGGTGCTCTGCCATGCCCTCCAACCCCACATCCTTGCAGACCAGCTCAAACGTTGCCTTCTCTGGGAAGCCTGTGCCAGACGTGGCCCCTCGCTCTCCCTGGGAATCCAGTGGAAGGAGCACTGGCTGTGGGGCCTGATGGTCCCACTGGGAAGCAAGGCTCCAGGACATCCCTGTGCACATCCTTGGGCAAGTTTCTGAAGCTTTCTACCCTATTTCCTCACCGATGAAATGGGGGTAATAGTAATGGAATATTATTCAGCCATAAGAAGAAAACAAATCCTACCATTTACAACAACATGGATGAAGCTAGAGGGTGTTATGCTCAGTGAAATAAGCCAGGCAGAGAAAGACAAGTGTTCCATGTCAGCTGAGCCAAAGCCCCCTGCAGCCCCCCGCAGCCCCGCAGCCGCCAGCATTCCACACATGAGATTTCACTCATCTGTGGAGCATAAGAACAAAGAAAAAACTGAAGGAACAAAACAGCAGCAGACTCACAGAACCCAAGAATGGACTAACAGTTACCAAAGGGAAAGGGACTGGGGAGGATGGGTGGGAAGGGAGGGAAAGGGGCATTTCGATTAGCACACATAATGTAGGGGGGCGTGGGGAGGGCTGTACAGCACAGCAGACAAGCAGTGACTCTACAGCATCTCACTATGCTGATGGACAGTGACTGTGAAGGGGTGTGGGAGGGGGGACTTGGTGAAGGGGGGAGCCTAGTAACCACAATGCTGCTCACGTAAGTGTATATTAATGATACCAAAAAAGTAAAATTTAATAAAATTTAATTTAAAAAAAGAAAGAACCAAGCTTTGCTTGTTTTCACTTCTGAAGTGAAGTTCAGTAAATAAATGGAGCTCACTTTCAAAGATCAAAAAAAAAAATGTGGCTAATAGTGATAATAATGCTCTCCTGGAACAAAATGCCTGGAAAATGGCATCGAATGCAATTCATATCATTTGTGATGTGTAACTGAGCTTGCACGGAGTGGAGGAGTGACCCAGCAGAGCCGGAAGTGGCAGTGATGAGAGGATCCTGACTCTAAGGCCACCTCAAGGCACCGGGCAGTCTCACTGCCCTCAGGAGAGAGGGCCTGGACACATGCAAGGTGGAGTGTTGGGACTGGCATCCTTGCCTCAAAGCCAGGGCCTCAGAGGAGCCCCTTCCAGGGAACAGGTGAATAGGGAAAAGCCACCTGCTCGAACAGTGGAACCTTCTAGTCCCACCCAGATCCAGTGATCCCCCTCCTCTAGGCACAGATGAGCATGTTTCCTGTGCTCTTCCAATTAGCCTGTCCTTGGGACTGGTTCTGCCCAGTGGGTGCTGAGAAGAAGAGATATGAATCACTTCTGGACTAAAGTAGTTAACAGCTGCACCAGACTCTCCAGTGCTATCTCCCACCCCACTCCCTTGGCACCTGTGGAGGCCACGCGTCAGGACGGCAGAGCTGTGTTGAGATAAAGGAAATCTGGATCATTGAGTTGCTCCAGGGGAGAGAGTTGACTGACAAATTGCTCAGATTCCCAATTTTGAAAAAGCAAGAGATAAGCCTTTGTTAGGTTTAGCTAGGAAGAGGGATTGTTTGTTACTGAAGCAGAACTTAGGCTCCCCTGATTAATGCAGCTGGTAAAGGAGATAACAAGCAAGGTAAATTCATCAAATATATGCAATTACATTGACATCAAGAATCAGAACTATGGGCAATTAGCCAAGTACTATAAAGAAAGACCAAATAAACTTGAAAAAGACCAAAACAACCGGCTATGAAAATCTTACTAGTCACATTGAAGGCTAGATTAGATCTAGCTGAACACAGAATTAGTGAAATGAAAGGTACAATTAAAGAAATTACCCAGAGACATACAGAGAAAAAAAGAGATCAGAAAAAAGGAAGAGGTTAAGAGACAGGAAGGACAAGAAGAATCACTAACAGATCTGCATCCAATTGATGTTCCAGAAACAAAGCCCAGGGCCAAAGGGCCACTTGAAGATACAATGGCTAAGAATTTTCCAAAATTGATAATAGATGGGAATCTTGAGGTTCAAGAAGCATGGTGAGTCTACAGCAGGATAAATAAAAGCAAATTCATGCCTTGACATATCATAGTAAAACAGCAGGATGCCAAAAACAAAGCAGAAGCATAAAGGTAGCCATTTATTCACTCACTCATTCATAAAAGAAAGTTTTTTTGAACATCTGATAGGTGCTAGGCACTATTGTAGACATTTAGGATGCATCCGTGAATACATAAAATTCCTGCTCATTCTCACAGGGAAGATAGAGAATAAACAATAAACATAAGAAGTAAATTTTACAATGTGCTAGAAAGTGATGAGTGTTATTAAAAAAGGAAGAAAACAGAATGCAGGGTATTTGGAATATGAGTATGGTGGTGAGAAGCTGGGGAAGAGTGTAATAGTGAGATGTCGGAAGAGGTCTCATTGAGAAGTAAAATTTGAACAAAGACTTGAAATAAAGGAGTTAGTGAGACAGGTATGTGGGGAAGAGCATTTTAGGCAGATGTAGCAGCTAGTGGATTGATCCTTTGTATATATATATATTCTGTGAAGTACCTGTTCAAAGCTTTTGTCCAATATTGCATTGTCTTTATCCTTATTATTGAATTGTAGGAATGTTTTTTATATATTCTGATACAGTCCCTATCAGATGGGTGTATGCAAATATGTTCTCCCAAGCTGTGGTTTGTTTATTTCCTTAACAGATCATTTGAAATGCCTCCATCTTTACCAAATTTTTATTTCATATTTTGTGGTTGTTAGTTTTAGTTTTGGCTTTTATATTTAGCTCTGTCTGTGACTGATTTTGTGTTAACTTCTGTGTATGATGTGAGGTAGGCGTTGAGGTTTATATTTTTATGTATGGATATCCAGTTGTTCTACCATGTGTATTAAAGACTTTACTTTTTAAAATGATTTACCTTGGCCCCTTTTTAAAAAATCAAGTGGTCATAGGTAGGTGGATCTCTTTTTAGATTCTTTACTCTGTTCCATTGATCTGGACGTCTATCCTACACCAATACCAAACTGTTGCTTTATAAGAGGTCTTAAAATTCTGTAGTATAAACCCTCTCACTTTGTTCGTTTGGAAAATTGCTTTGGCTATTCCAGGTCCTTGGATTTCCATTTAAATTTAGAACTGCCTTGCCAGTTTCTATGAAAAGACAGGTATAGTTATAACTGGAATTATGTTGAATCTATAAATCATTGAAGGCACAATTGACATCCAATAATTGAGTCTTTGAATCCATGAATATGGTATATCTTAATTTCTCTATGCCATCTTTAATTTCTCTCAGCAATAATTTACAGTTTTTAGTGTACAGGTCTTGTATATATGTTGTGAAATACATCTCTAGCTATTTCATATAATGTATGCTATTACATATGGTACTATTTTTTATTTAGAGGTAATTTTAGAATATCAGAAGAATTTCTAAAAGTGTACAGAGAATTGCCACAAACACTTCACTCAGCTTCTCTTAATATTAATACCAAAATTTTGATTAAAGTATGAAAACTAAGAAATTAACATTGATACAGTACTATTAACTTAACAATAGACTTTGTTTGGATTTTTACCAGTTTTTCCACTAGTGTTCCTTTTCATTTCCAGGATATAATCTAGGATCCCACACTGTATTTAGTTGGCTTGTCTCTCTGGTGTCCCACAGTCTGTGACAGTGTTCAGTATTTCCATCTTTCATGACTTGACACATTAAAAGAGTAATGGTAAGATGTTTTGTAGTATGTCCCTCAATTTGGCTCTGTCTAATGTTTTCTATGCATTATTAAGAAGAATGCCACTGGGGTAATGTGCATCACATCAGGGAGTTTATGGTATTTCTATGTCTCCTTATTACAGTGACATGAACTTAAGTCATTTGGTCAAGAAGGTGTCTGTCAAATTCCTTCACTGTACAGTTACTATTTTCTTTCTATAATAGGTAACATTGAAGTAGAGAGATACTTTGATACTATGCATATGTTTTGTTTCTTTTTAAACTTCTGCCCATTAATTTCAACACCCATTGGTTGAAATTAGTTCTGTGGAATTCTGATGGTGACTTTTCTGTTTCTCTCATTCCTTTGAGATTTACTAATTGGAATTCTGTAAGGTGGTGTGGTTCCCTTTCTCCCATTTATTTATTGATTACATTATGCATGTTTATCAGTGTGGACTAACAGATATTTACTTTATTCTTTGAGTTATAATCCAGTACTATTGTTTATTCTGTTGCCCAAATTGTTCCAGCTTTGGCCATTGGGTTCCCTTTCAGATTGATTCCTACACCTTTTCGATGTTCCCCCATCCATTTGCTTTTTTGATTATAGAATTCACTTACAATAAAGTATACTTAATTTCAATTATCAACTCTTTTTGCCAATATACAGACATACAACTGACATTTATATATTTAAAATGAGATTCTTATAGGCAACATATAGTTGGCCCATGCTTTTTCATCCAGTGTTATATCTCTGCCTTTGATTGGAGTATTTACACCTCTACCTTTAATATAGTATCAGTATCATTGTGTTTAAGTCTACCATATTTCTATTCATTTTCTATTTGTCTAATCTGTTCTTTGCTCCTTTTACCCTTTTCTCCTTCCTTGTTTAGGATTAATTATGTTTTTCATTGCATTTTATCCACTAATACCTAACAAACTATATCTCTTTGTTCTTTCAGAAGTTGCTGCAGGATTTCAAATATGTATATTTAACTCACCACAGTCTCCCTTCAGATGTTATGCCACTTCTAATATGATGTAAGTATCTTAAAACAGCATAGTTCCATTTGCCTCTCCTCCCTGGATGTCACAGACTACGCCTTCCAGTACATCATTGTATTGGGCATGTACAGCCCCAGAGCACCTCACTGATAATTTTGTTTTAAATAGTCAATTGTCTTCTAAGGAAATTAAAAGTTGAGAAAAAAAACTGTTTTAATCAGTGTTTTTAAATGCATATAGCAGAATAATGTAAGACATTTCATTTAAAGTATCAATTTGTACTCCATATATGTTTGTATATTTTTATGTTTAACATAGAAACGTGTAGAAAGATACATATCAGGTATTAGTGCCTTGGAGAAAGGATTAGGTGTGTCATTATTAAGGTTCTATTTGTATCTAGATAAATGAGTATATATGAGATCTAATTAAATAGATTCAAATAGATTTAATCAAGTTTTTATTTTTTAGTGACATTTTTGAATCACCAGAATGCCACAAATATCATTGCAATAACCACTCTTAAAATGGGCTGTTGCTTGCTTTAAAATGCTTTAAATTTGCCTACATATTTGCCATTTCAATGCTCTCCACTACTTTTTGTAGACCCAGGTTTTGTAGATAACATCATTTTCTTTCCGCTTGAAGAATTCCCTTTATCATTTGTTGTTTTGCCACTCTGCTGGTTTCTTAAAAACGATTTCACTTTCATTTTTGAAAGATATTTTTGAAAGGTATAGAATTCTAGATTAAAAGTTCCTTTCTTGGTGGGTGGGGAGGAAGGGAGAAGGGGATAGAGGGGCATTATGATTAGCACACATAATGTAGGTGGGTCAGGGGGAAAGCAGTGCAGCACAGAGAAGACAAGTAGTGACTCTATAGCACCTTACTACACTGATGGACAGTGACTGCAGTGGGGTGTGTGGAGGGGTGAGGACTTGATAATTTGGGCGAATGTTGTAACCACAATGTTGCTCATGTGAAACCTTCATAAGATTGTGTATCAGTGACACCTTAATTTTAAAAAAAGCTCTTTATAAATACAAATTAAACCCTCCAGCAAAAAAAGAAACTCCTAATAAATATTGTTGATAATCAAGGAAAAAAAGTTCCTTTCTTTCACTGTTTTAAAGATGTTACCCCCATGAACTTCTGGCTTGCATTGTTTCCAAAAAGAATACTACTGTCATTTCAGTATTGTTCCTCCATATGTGTCATTCATCTCTGGCTGCTTTTAGGATTTTCTCTTTAACCCTGGCTTCAGAAAATTGATTATTATGTATCTTGGTATGGTTTTCTTTGTATTTTTCCTACCTGGAATTCATTGAACTTCTTGGATTTGTAGATTTATAGTTTCACCAAATTTGGATGTGGTATTTCAGCTGGGCCTCCTGGAAAGAGCACTTGTGTCTTCAAGAATAAGGGCCACCTGGTGCACCGCTCATGACCTGGATAACCGCACTGCTTAGAAGGCTGTCCAGGACCCTGAGCGAACTGGTTAAAGCTGGGTTGGTGGTGCCATGGTGTGGGGTGGAGTCCCGTGAGAGTCCGGGAGGCTCTTTCAGTTCCTTGGAGAGTTGGGATGGCTCTGCCACTGCCGCTGGGCATGGCTTGGTGATGCATACGCCACACGCTGCCCCGGATGCAAAAAGGAGAACAAGTTCTTTGGAGAAGAGACACTGTTCCAGCTTGGGGAATGGGCCTCCTGAGCAGACCCATCTGGCCTGGATGTTGTGGACACAGCAGGGCCACAGAGACCTGGAAAAGCCAGCTGGGGCCCGGGGGCGGTTGTGGGGGTGGGGAGGTGAGTCTGCACCGTCTCTGGGGTATCCCTCCCTGTAGGGATCTAGATCAACCTGGTACACATCCGAGTGCCACCTTGAGCAGCTGACATTGCTGGCTTGACTTCTCCTGGTCACCTCAGTCTCCCCATCCTCAGCACCACATTTGCAACTGGTCCTTTATCTCCCCTAGGTGCTGCCCGAATGTGGTTCTCAATCCCTTCTCCTTCATTTCCATAAGAAACCTCTCTGAAAGGCCCAAATCTGAGCAGCCTCTACTGAAGATTGAAGGCGGGAGGCTTCTACCTCACAGCCACGAGACCTCGAGGGTCAGGCCTTCCTCAGCCTCCACCTCACCCTTTCCACCTGGCCCCACAGCCCACACCTGCTTCCCCCTGTCTGCTGCTCATCCTCCCCTCGACAGAGTTTATCCAGGAGTTTTCCTCCCCAGGAGAACAGGGCTAGAATGAGGATGAGGCAAACAAAGGCCCTCCCCTCAGTGCAAAATTTAAGAAGGCACCAAAAAACTCAGCAATGAAGATAAGCCACATTTAATGCAATATTTTTTTTAAGTCAAAAGCCATGCAACTACAACTCAACAACAAAAAGTCAACAATCCAATTCAAAGATGGGCAAAGGACTGGAATAGACATTTCTGCACAGAAGTTACAAAAGTGGCCAGTGAGTACCTGGAATGGTACCTGCATCATTAGTCCTTAGAGAAATGAAAATCAAAGCCACAATGAGATACCACTCCACGTCCATTGGGATGGCAAGAATTTTTTTTTAAATTTTCATGGAAAGCAGCAAGTGTTAGTGAGGCTGTGGAGAAACTGGAACGCTTTGCACAGCTGGTGGGAATGCAAAATGACGCAGCTGCTCTGGAAAACAGTTTGACAGTTCCCCAAACAGCTAAACATAGAATCACCATATAATCCAGGAATTCCACTTCTACATATACACCCAAAAGAACCGAAGTCAGTCAGGGACTCAGAAAAAACCTGTATGCCAGTGTTCATGGCAGCATTATTCACAGTAGCCAAGAGGTGTAAACAAATGCAAATATTCAGCATCTGAATAGATGAACACGATGTGGTTTATCCAGGCAAGGGAATACTCTCCAGTCATATAAAGCAAGGTAGTTCTGACACAGGCTATAGCATGGATGAACACAGAGCACATCACGCTACATGAGATAAGCTGATCACAAAAGAACACATTGCATGACTCCACTTACTTGAGGGACTAAAAGTCAAATTCACAGAGACGGAAAGCGTAGTGGGTGCCAGGGCTGGATAGGCGATGGGGACTTGGTGCTCAATGGGGACAGAGTGTCAGTTTGAAAAGAGGAAGAAGTTCTGGGGATGGATGATGGGGGTGGCTGCACCACGTGAATCCACCAAATTGTACACCTAAAAATGGCTAAGATGGAAATTTTATGTTATGTATATTTTACTGCAACTTAAAAGTACATGTTAAAAAAGTTCCATGATGAAAAAAGAATCAGAATTTTAAATAAAGACAAAATCCAGGCTAGGACAAGCCATATTGGAATCTGAGACAAAGAGAAAAACCACCGAGACTGACCCCGTCTCTATTTAAAATTTTGATATTTTGTTCATCATAAGCTTTTTGCATTACTTTGATTTTTTTTAAATATGGTAGTAAAACGTGATTTGTCTGGATTATTGAGATGGGACCCAAGGGGCATATGTCGTTTTCCTCACCTCCTCACCTGGTTTGGCCCCGACGAATTCTGCCTCAGCTACTGGAAATGTGAGGCCCCCTCAGCCCTCCAGCGCAGAGCCACCCCCGGTAACTCCGTCGTGCCCGAGCCGGGGCCGTGCCCACCTTCCCTCCCTGCAGCTCTGTCAGAGCCGGCCCATTTTTCTGTCTTTGGTTTCCCCACTGCCGTACCCCACAGGATAAAACCAAAGTCCTCGTGGACTATTACTCAGCCTTAAAAAGGAAGGAAATTCTGACATATTCTACCATGTGTGGAAGAAACTTGAGAACATTATACCAAGTAAAATAAGCTAGTCACAAATCCTGTGTGGTTCCACTTCTACAAGATGCCGTCTGATTCATAGAGACAGGAAGCAGAAGGTGGTTACCAGGGACCAGAAGAGGGGGCGGGACCTCATGTTCAATGGGGACGGAGTTTCCGTTGGGATGCTGAGCATGTTCTGGAGATGGTGGTGGGGATGGCTGCACAGTGACTGTGCTTAATGCCACTAACTGTACACTTAAAAATTAATAAAATGGTAAATGTTATGTTATTTATATCTTACTACCAAATAAAAGTAAAAAACGAACAAAACAAAAGCAGCTGCTCTGGGTTGCTGGCTCCCTGGGGGGACCACGGCAGGCTCCCCTCCCGACTCTGCCTGGGGCCCGTGGATCACAGCCACGGTCTCGTCAGTCCGGAGGCCACTCTGCGAAACAGCAAAGATAAATATGTCCCACCTCGCCTTGGGTGAAATAGGAACAGAGAAGATCCAGCTTGATTTTTAAAGTAATTATGTTTTGTTCCCCAAACACATTTCTCACCCTTTTGTTGTCAAGCATCCTGAAGTCAGAAGCTGCCTCAGGGAGTCCTGCGCCTTCCTGGGACTCAGCCACTAGTCACAGCTCTTCCGGGACTGCAAAGTCCTCACCTCGAGTGCCTTGGCTGATGCGACAAAGCGCTCCCGCGCTGATCATCCTAACAAGGCAAGTGGTGGCCTCGGTGAGGAGAGGGCAGAATGCTCACATCTGAAGGGCGGGCACGAGCCCAGGGCATCAAGGTGACTCGCCCAAGGTCACACCGCCCGCAGGAACTTCGGCTTGGGCTCCGCCCCCCCTGACCACGCCCCCCACCAGCCTCTGCCTCGTGCACCTTCATGCCAGCCGCGGACCTGGCTCAAGTCCATCTCCCCATCAGGCAGGCCCCCAGCCCCCCCAATTCATGCAGACAGGCAGCTACTCCCCCTCCCACCTCCCACCCGCTCCTCTTGGGGTCTGATTCCTCCTGCAAATGAGGTTGGAGGCGCCCGTGGCAGGGGCAGAAACCCCTGATAAGAGGATCGGTTGGCCCCAGACGCTTCTGCCGGGCTGGCGTGGCACAGCGGCCGGGGCATGTCCCAGAGGGCCCCGCACCGCTGCTTGGTATGCGCGGGGGCCTTTGCCCGAGCCCAGCCGCCTTCCCAGGCCATTCAAGTCAACTCCACCAGGGACTTTTGTTGCCATTACCACCCTCCGCCATTCGCAGGGGCGGTTTTTGTCTCCCCAAATGGGAAAGTATCTTTTACTTTTCTCTTTGACACTGACTCTTTGGACTAAAGCAGGGACCAATTAAACTAATTAATCCCTCGGCATTTTGCCGACAGAGAGACCAGCTCTTGCGCTGGAGGTCACTCCGGGGAGGGGGGCAGGCTGACTCCCCATCTTTGTGCAGCTCTGCCCCTGCTCAGCAACCCTCAGACCCCAGGCTGCAGCCTGGGCTCACCTGGCCTCAGGGGACTCTCCCCGCCACCCTCCACCTGCCGCACAGGCAGGGGGCTCCGGGCCTCTGGGCAATCCCACCCTCACCTCAGACACCAGCCAGGCTGCAGGCCCAGGGGGGACTGCGTCCCACCCTCACGAACAGCTGGCACTGCTGTTACAAGAGGGTGTAGGCGGCCTCGCACCCAGAGAGAGCGGCCAGCTGAAAGGAGAATGCTCCAGGTGGGGTTCAAAGACCTCTGGGGGATGCCGGGCTGCGGGGCAGCTCTGCTCCCCATTAATGGGCCCCTCAGCAGACTCATTTTCTTCATGGACAACAGCAGGATTTCTTGGCTCCGGCAGAGAGGAGCAGCTGGCCACGCTGTTTATTCAGATACCGTTCTGGCAATATTCAGAATGTTTTTCCCTCTCCCCTGCAGGATCTGAAAGTGTCCGTGGGGCAACTGGATGCACGTGTCTACACACGGCTTTCCACGGTGGCATCTTCACAGAGCGCATAAATTCTCTTCTGAAGAGGCCTTCGCCGTACTCTGGGCCTCCCACCCCCGGGCCTCCCACCCCTGCTCACGGCCATGTTTCCAGGAACACTGAAGACGAAAAACATGCGATTTTTAAATGTGTCTCTTTCACAGTCACACATTTCTTCTCATTGTGCATCTTGGCTGATCCACACTTTAAAATTCCCAGTGACTGCTCCCAGGCTGGCTTTTCCAAGGGTTTTGCACCTTTGACTCCCCCCTACTAAAAAAAGATCCCCAGGCGGCACAGGATGCTTGGAGCCCGTCTCTGAAAGCATTTTTCAAAGTTTCATGTCTCTGCTTTGGTTTCCTCTTGCTGCTTAGAGCCCTGTGCTTGCAGACCCAAGGGTCGCCCTGCAGCCTTGCACACACAGGTACGGCTTGGCAAGCACCAGTTTCCAGAACTTTGCTCAGGCTATGTCAGGCTGTGTCCTCCCCCCCCATTGCCTTCTGACACCCAGTTATGTCCTGGCCCAGAGGCACCACCACAGGCCTGAGCACCAACCCTGTCGGATCTTTCTTCCAAATTAAGTATAACCCCCAGCAGGGTTCTGGGACCCCCCCGACAGGCCCCCAGCCTTCAGAGCCGGCCTCACCTAAGCCCCTCCCTGAGTCCCAAGTGCCGCTCACCATCCAGCCAAGAGCCTGGGCGCTCCTTCTGGGCCTTTCCGCATGTGCTTCCCTCCAACCCGTCGGCCTGCACTCTGTCCCCGCCTTGGCCAGCAGCGATCCCACTCCACCCGGACACGCCGGCCCCCATGGTGAGACTCCATTGCCGCTATAACAAATGGCCATGCACCTCATGGCTTGAAAAACACAAATGTATGACTTTGCAGCCCTGGGGGCCAGGAGTCTGACCCGGGCCTCCCGGGGCTGATGTCAAGGTGTCAGCAGGGCTGTGCTCCTTCCAGAGGCTCTGGGGGAGTCCACCTCCCTCTTCCCAGCTTCCAGAGGTTCCCACTCTCCATGGCTCATGGCCCACCTCCATCCTGAAAGTACATCACTGCGACCCCTGCCTCCACCGCCACACTCCCTCTCCCAGACCCCAGTCCTCGGTTCCTCCTTCCCCTCGTCAGTGCCCCTGAGGTGATGCTGGGCCTGCCCTGATCAGCCAGGGTCACCTCCCGCCTCAACGCCCTCTGCAGAGTCCCTCGGGGGGCCCTGCTCAGCCCAGCCCAGCCCAGCTCCCGGGGCCTGACACAGTCCAGCTCAGTCTGTTCACCACCGGGATCCTGTTTGCCTTCCCAAAGTGCCTTGCCCCGCGGCCACAGGAACGCGGTCAGCCCGTGTTACCGGTGAGAAGGCTGAGACACACAGAGCAGGAAGCATCAGCGCCAGGCGCAGCAAAAAGGAGGGGCTCGGGGGTCCTGCCAGGACCGCAGTGCGCGCTCGTGAGTGCTGGCCCGTGAGCTGCCACTCACCGCCGCTGGGACAGTGGCCTCCAGCCAAACAGCCATTTAGGGCTTTCAGGTTGGAAGGAGGGTCTCACCTCTCCCTGGACCTGCTCCTTTCCCATGTGCTGCCTGAGGAAAGAGGACTGGATGAAGGGGCACACAGAGCTGGCAATGCAACAGCTCACACACACACACACACACACACACACTCACGCAAGCTACTGGGCCATGCAGAGCCTCGGATCCTGCCTTACCACGGGATAGGAACTGACTGGCATGTACATGTTCCAGGCCCTGGGCCTAAGAGGAAGGGGTGGAGTGTGCTTCTGCTCCTTTTCTGTGCTTGGTGCTGGCTGGAATGCAGATGGGATGGAGGGAGCTACAGCAGCCATATTAGGCCATGAGCACACTTTCTTGCTGAGGACAGCAAAATGACAGTCTCCTCAGCATCTGAGCTTCTGTTATCATGTCATCCCACACCACTTGTGTTTGGACTGTAAAGTGAGAAAGAAAGAAACTTCCACAATGTTTAGGCCAGTCTCAGGGGGTATCTTTGTTCTAGCAGCCAAGCCCATATACTAACCATTATAGATTTGGGTATACACAAGGGGGAGGTCTTGTTCCCACAGCCAAGCCCCCATGGTCTGGCCTCCATAGTCCAGGACGCAGATTTCATAAGCGAAAAAGCTGCTGACCCTTGTACTGTGAAGAGCCTGTCATAAAAACATTCTCTGTGATGCCTGAAAAGCCAACCACACCCTGGAACTTCAGAACTGGTCTGAAAAAATGTAGGTGTGTGTCAGCTGCTGCCACGGGAAGTGATACAGGAGTCACAGAGACAGCTTTGCACATACACTCTCAGTGGAAGATAAGAGGTTGGCCTTTCCATGCCCCACCCAAGAAAAGTTCATTGTCAGCAGGTCCAGAGGAGCCAGCCCAGCACCATGAAACTCTGTCCCCTGCCCAGGCCCGTTGGTTCGCGTAACATCATGTCAGTAGCTCTTAAATGAGCAAAAGGTAGACAAGCCGAGAAGAGAGGCCTGAAGATAAAAGACCAGCTTAATAAGAATACAAAGCCAGGTCTGGACAAGATTTAGAAGGGGTTGTGTGTGGTATGGTACTAATCAGATGCAAATAGACCAGAAACTCCCTACATTTTAGAGGGAAATGTATTTCCAAATTAACTGCAAGCCTGGCTCTCAAAAGTGTGTTATTCTTTTGACATGCCCCTTAAAGAAATTCCTGGACACCCCAGAAATGTGGACATAGTCAGAACATGTTACGAAAACTGAGTGGCCGCCAGAAGGGGCACATGCAGCACTGCCCACTTCAGGTGTGGGCTGAGGGATGAGGTGGCAAACAGGTGGTCCCAGAGGACCCAGCAGGACGTGGGGACAATGGGCAAGGTGTTCCTCCCAGGGAGCAGAGACAGGGTTGCCACCCGGGCCGGCAGCTCACCCTGCCCAGCCCGAGTTGGTCACCCCCGTAGACCAGGACCCGCTGCGTTGCTGTTCCTTCTCCCTCCCCGAGGGATATTTCTGCACGGCCCTCGTCTGCAGAGGGGGTGCAGACATGCGCCTTTTCCTTTTATAGTTTTTAGGTTCCCGGTTCATGCAGGGTCTGGCCTTGATGCGCAGCACCCAGAGGCCCTGGGCATGGCAGGGCACAGTGCCTGGAGGGGGCATGGGGGCTGTGTTCCACCCAAGAGTCTCAGTGCTTTCAGAGCGCAGAGCGGGGAGTCTGCCTGGAAATGCACTGGCCCAAGAGGCGGATGGTGGTGCAGACTGTTTGCTGTCCCCCAGTGTCCATCTGCCCCTTCTTTCCTTAATAACAGAGCTCTTGAGGTCTGAGCCAGGCACATAGCCACCCACGGAAGATGACATTCCCCACCTCCCTTGCCACTAGATGTGGCCATGCAGCCAACTTCCAGCTGATGGGATGGGAGCCATGGGGCCACAGGCAGCTTCCTGGGAGAGGGCCCCGCGCCCAGCTCTCTTCTCCTCCTTCCCTGGCTGCATCATGCCTTTGATGGCAGGTGTGACCCCCCTGAGCTACAGGGTGCACGGGGCCTGAAGGCAGCAGGACTGTGGTAGAAGCAGCTGCACCCTGGACACCAGGGAAGGGCCACCTCAGCCCTGTGTGGCTCGTGCTGAATGAAAGAAAAGAAACGCCCTCATTTTGCTCATGGTGATGTGGGGGTCTTTGTCACAGCTGCCCACCCTGTAACCCAACTGATACTGCAACAGTGCCTCTCCATGCAGGTCCCAGAGCACAGGTTGGGGAGGCAGGGAGAGGACCTTGCCA